TAACAATATATTGCACAAGCACATCCAGCCAAAAACCGATACTTAAATTCTGCTAAAAATTAGACTGGAATTGCAGTCATTAGCTCAAAGATACGCCAGGCTGTACAGCAGCAAGTTCTTACTGCAGTTCTGAAGTAGCTGAAGGAAGATAAGCAAATGCAAGATAAGGTGGTGAAAGTCTTTGCTTTAAGTTCGGGGCCTATTAAGCGCTTTCCACAGTGGCCCAAGGGCCACTCAGTACTTTTTGGTCCCCAATGATGATCCTGCTACCATTTTTTTAAAGTATCTTAGCATCTATAAAATCAGAACATCAGTTTAGGGAGTATCAAAGATTAAACACATTGTTATGATTAAACCAATTTTTAAGGTAAGCGATTTTATTTCTGAAAGTCATGGTACCTTTTTCCTTAGTAGAAAACCAAATGTGATCTAATAGCAGCCAAAGTTGTCCCTGAGAGATGATTAAAGATGAATATTTCTTGTTTTGTTCCAGTTGCAATCGTGGTCCTGGTTTGGGCTGTGGTTTGGTCCATCACTGGGACTGAGTGTCTCCCAGGTGGAAACCTGTTTGGAATTCTGTTTCTTTATTTTTTTGCTGTCATTGGAGGTAAAATTTTTGGATTCATTAAAATACGAACACTACCCCCTCTCCCTGCTCTTCTGGGTAAGATATCCTCTTCCTTCTTTTCTTCCTGCATATTTGTGTTTAAACTGTCAAGTAACACCTGCATGCTAGATATGTTTGGATTGGGAACAAACAAACTGCATCACGCGCAAAATCTGTAGCTTTTCCAAGTGAATTTTATCTGGTCCTCTCCGAGAAGGTGCAAAACCCCCCAAACTGGCTCAAGTGAAATAGCCTGTGTGTTACTGAGGCTCTCCTCTTAATTCTTTGGGGGCCAGAGAACTGTTTACCTACAGATTGAAAAGTTATTGTCCTTCAGTCACCTCTGTCACAGTTACTTAAAATTTGGTTTTAATAGCACTAAACAGGAGTCTTAATCTGGACCTCCTGTTACAGTAGAAGAATTAATTCATAAGGAAATTATTGCTGAGCTGTTTCACATGTATCTCGCACAACGAAAATGTTTTCCAAAGAAAATAGGAATTCCCTATTACTGGTAATCCAAAGCAATTTCCTTCTTCTCCTACCTTCATCTCAAGATAACTGAAAGCTGAGAAAATAAATTCACCACAAGGAATAATTCTTCTGAAGAGAGTTATTTTCAATCAATCATAACATTGTTTTTCATATCAACATCTTATTTTATTTTACACAAAAATGCAGAATAGAAATGGGAGATGAAAATGACATTAATTTTGACATCATCAGAACCTTTTCAGACTTCTTTCCTAGAGGAAGTTTTGGTTAGATCAGTACAATATCGTGACGTCAACAAAAGTGAAAAACGAAGCTCCAGGTTCTTCTCGCCAGCTGTATACTGCCCCCTTACTGTGCTTCGTGCAGAAATGAGTAAAGCTGTTGACAGACAGTAAAACTTCATGGCAGAGTGGGCTACAAATACCTGCCTGTAGTGCACAGATGGGATTTTGTAACCTGCATAGCTGGTGCTGTGCCTCACACAGCAGCGCTACTTACAGAAGGGATGGATAGCTTCACGTACAGCTCTGTCCAGGCAGCATGCGCGTTCGTGCGCTGCTTAGTTTCACGAGCAAAAAAAAATTCAAATGAGAGGGAGGGAAGTTTTGCATATAGCTTGCATGCCTGCAATAATATGAACACAGAATGTAACACACAGGGAGTCTGCCCTTTCTAACTAAACACCCCCCTTTTGAAATAGAAAAAAAGTTTCTGACCATTTGGATTCTGCTTTTTTTAATTACATCTGTATGTAAAAGCTATGAGTTGAGCATGAAACTGCTTGTCAGACAGGTAATACTGAACAACAGAAACTTAAGCATGACAGCACACGTCTGTAGAGTTGCTTAGGACAGAGTTCATTGTTCAGATCCCCAGTCTTTGTGGAAAATTGGAGAAATCGGTGAGTCAGAAGAAGAGATGGACAATGTCTTTGAATATTCTTTTTTACACTAAAAATACAAATCTTGTATTCTTACATGCCTTTAATCCACTTGTGCTAGGTGCAGTTGAGTGTAATGTGGCTGGCTGAGCACTTAAGCACCTTATAGTGAGCCTCTGTCTGAGGAAAAAAGGAGTGAAATTGCTACTCAAACAGTCACATAGTATATTTTAGGTATACATTGCAGAGAGATTTCTGCAGCAGGCAACACGGAGCAGAACAGTGAAGATATCCTTTGAGGTGGAGTTTTTTGCTTTAAGTAGATTTCTAGATTGGGGTAGCTCTGCTGACTTGGACCTCAAGTAAACATTGCAAAGAGCATATGATTATTATGCTAGCCTGATATAATTGTCATGAGGTACTGCAGATTAATTATGCCAGTTTTTTTTCCGGGAGGTGGTGGGAAGAACGGTGACCGAAAGTAGCATGTTCCAGAACAAATCAAATCCACAGCCAAGGCTCACGCCAAGCTGGGACCAACCCAAGCATAGTGTTTGTTTACTTTTTGTCTTTTTTGGTTTCCTGTTTCTTAACATGGCTAATATAAAATTATGCCACCAAAATGTATCTTTGCATCATCAGGACCTACAATGAATCTCTGCAGATCTATATTTAAAGTCACCCTTTCCTGTACTTTTCTGTATCCTTCCAGAACTACAGTTCTGATAGCTTTGCAGGAAATCTCTGATTAGACAGTTTTGCTAATATTTGCAAAAGGTTGGATCTTGCAAGTAGCTCAAATAGAGGACAAGAGCAAGTTCCTGACTTTTTCCCCCCCTTTTTTTTTTCCTCTCTTTGTATGAGTCATATTGCCAGAGCATTTTAAGATGTCTAAGTTAGTCCATGATTAGCTGTTTTAGATTATATTTCCCAATGAACTCAGCATTATGGTTCCTGTCATACCTGCATTTCTTACACCTAAGAGGATTTTTAACAATTTCCAACTTCTGAGATAAATACGCAATATTAGACGATCTTCCTCTTTCCATGTTAAAACAAGCTAACAAGAAAAATATCTTTAAGGATGCAGAGGTGTCTTTGCTTATGGTAAGCGTGACCTGCGCCTGGTGAACAAAGATGAATTCTGTTGACTCGCACTAAAGCTACGTGTTCTTAGGCCACTTTCATTGCTTTAAACAGGTCTCTCTCTTTCCATGACTCAGTCCCCATCATTAAAGCATGGCTAATAATTCAGAACATGAACTGTTTCTTTTTCTCTCATAAATACATAATATGATGTCTATTTTTAAGAACTCTATGCAAGCTTTTAGTGCAATAAAAGCAAATCATTTGACAGGAGCTTATTTGCTTTCATTTAAGGGATGCTACTTGCTGGTTTCATAATCCGAAATACCCCGTTCGTTAGTGACATCGTCCAGATAAACCTACGCTGGTCTGTAGCACTGAGGAATATCGCTCTTTCCATTATCTTGACCCGAGCAGGACTCGGCCTGGATCCAAAGGTATGGCACCAGGCATTTGTGTGAGGCAAAGTATACAACAGCCCTCAAAAAAACCTGAATAATCTGTTCTGTTAAAAATATTGAACTGTTCGGTCTTGGAAGAGCTGCAAATTAGAGCATTACAGAAAGTATAGTTTCTATTGCATAATCATATGTTAATATTAGCAGTTGGATTTGTAGAGTAGGCAAGCAATCCAAAAAATACCTGAAGAAAACTGATTTTATGACTATTTTCCCTCTTGCCTTAAAGAAATTTCCTGAATTTTGAGCAGAGCATTTTGAGCTCCATCATGGTCTGTCAGGGAGAGTTCACGCCCCCTGACAAACTCCTTGTCAGTTTACACTGACAAACTAAAACAAGTAATGGAAGGGATCCCCAGTCCTTGAAAGAATGTTGTGTTGACACCAATCAAAAAAAAAAACCCAACCAACCAAAAATCCAAACCTGTGTGTCATTTTTACTTTTTTCTTTTCTTTTTTTTTTTTTTGAATCATTGCCATTTTAATGCAAATATATTAATTGCAAAGATGAGTCCTGCTGCACCACAGAAACAATGCTTCATATCACAATAAAGCCCATAACACTTCTGTGAACAAAAAAATAGTCTTCCTCCACACACTATGAAATGTCATGTTCCATAAATTAATGAATGCAAGGCTTTGCTTGATCAAAATCAGCTGGCTGAAATAAAGCTGTACCATATTGGCCCCTATCTATTTAAGGGGCCACTTAAAGTCTATATAAAACTTAGGTCAAGTATAGCTAGTTCAGAACAACTAAACTGATTTTTCTTAACCAAGATGAAAACTAGGGAGTTAGTTGCCAATGCTTCAAATATTTAGGAAAACAGGGGTTTGTCATTCTTGAAAAATGCCTGGTTTCTTAGATTACTATCATCCATTTTTCCAAGGCATTGAAGCTTGTATGAACACGGACTGTGTGGTGTTACACACAGCTTGGATGCCCAGTTCTGTGAGATTGCTTTTCTTTCTATTCCGTGACGACTTTTTTTGCCTTCATTTTTGACTCGTTTTTCTCCCATACAGCAATTGAAACTGTCATTTGGACTCTGTATGTAGCAATGCTTTGATGCAGTTACAATTGTTCCTCATGCAATTGAAGCTGTGAAGACAAAGATGTCAGTTGCTCTGCTGATTCTCAGCCCTAATTATGCTGGGATAAACTGCCCTGGTACAAAGTGCAACTCATTGATTTATTTATTGTTTTTTTCCCATGTCAAAATCAGCGACCTGTCCTAGCAGAGTCGTGTTTGTGACTAATTATTAAAGGCAGCTGTTACAAGTAAACACTCTGTTTTAGAGAAGCTTTTGAATAGAAGTTGCTGAGCCAAATGGAACTTAATCTGCTCTGGGTATCAAGTGAGAGACAGCTGAAAGAGATGCTTGGCTCCTTGCACCAAGTTTATGTAGTTCTACAACTTTTCATGATTCGTTCATGGATTTTGGGATAATTTTTTGGGGGTGCTCATGCAACGTGTGGGATTATAGCAAAATCTTTTGTGGATGGAGCAAGTGGCCTCAAGTAACTGTGGGTAAGTCAGCTGTGTTGAGGGTGCATTTTTCAAATGGATCCCAGCTAGTCCAGCCTCTCACATTTAGTTTGCTCTACACAAGAAGCCAAACAGAATTCTCTGCCGCTTCTTCCTGTGACGTGCAGGAACCTTGTCGAAGCTAGATTCAGTGGGTTTCACTGCCACACTTGGAATTTTATATCCAAATCCAGTTGTGCTTGAGTCTATCTCTGGCTTAGACCACGTAAAGCTGTCACATCCTGTACTGCAGCTCAGAGGGGATTCTTTTAATAAACCATATCAGATCATAAATGTATTTCCTCTCTATAAAACCAAGAGCACCGATACTAATGTCTGAATGTGCTTTTATATTGCAGGCTCTTAAGAAACTCAAAGCAGTCTGTTTACGGCTTTCTTTCGGACCATGCATCTCAGAAACATGCACAGCTGCTGTTCTTGCCTACTCGTTCATGCATTTGCCATGGCAATGGGGATTTATATTAGGGTAACGTACTCTCTTTTCTCCTGTATGACAAAGGTGCCTGTTTTCATGCTACAGTTAAATGATCCAAGTGCAGTTAGTTCTCTGCGCCAAGCAGAGACCTCAGTTTAATGCCAGTTAGGAAGCTGTGCATAGCCCCGCTGGTTGTTTGCTTACCATTCATGTCTGGCTCTGTGGCTAATTTAAAGGTCACATTTCCAAGCTGTGGAGGAGTACTTGCATCATTGCTCTTCTGTGTTTGTGATGTGGTCACTTGAAGAAGAAACAAGGATGGTGCAGTCCCTAAGTCTTTAACCACAACACAGGGGGCTTTTAGGGACAGAAAATGATACTGCAGTTTGGAGAATCTTCATGCTGGAATTCAGAATTTCCCTGAAGAGAGACGCACATACAACAGCCTTCCTGTCACAAGTCAAGAATAAGGATATGGCATGTTATATTCTGGAGTGATATCCTTGAAGAGAAAACCTTTTCCATCTAGTTCTATCTAAATTGGGGGACTTGGTCTGGACCCATATACTGGAGCAAAATGGATGAACTTCTCCTCCTCTGCCATGCACTGATTTTTATGAGAAGCGACTGGGCTACTGAGTCATAAGCATGTCTAGACCAGGTTCCTAAATTGGACAATCAAGGCATATATCACGGAGCATAACTGGCCTGCAGCATAGACTCAAGTCTTAGTCTGTGGAGCCCTTTACTTTTAATACGATTGAGTTGGGCAGGAAGTAAAAGCTGATTGCAAGTCTGCATAGAAATATCCCTGTTTGTTCTTAGCAGGGAAAAGTAAGGAGAATACCTCATGTAAAGGTCTGTTTATTTATACTTGAAAAGAATGGGGGTCAGAACGTTTTGAAGTTTTTTAGTTCAGTGCTGCCTTTTTAAGAGAGGCTGAACCCCTGTGTTTTCAGTTTTGTTCTAGGTGCAGTCTCCCCTGCTGTGGTGGTTCCCTCAATGCTGATTTTACAAGCTGGGGGATATGGGGTGGAGAAAGGCGTCCCAACTTTGCTAATGGCAGCTGGCAGCATTGATGACATTCTGGCTATTACAGGCTTCAACACTTGCCTTGGGATGGCTTTCTCTTCTGGTATGCTGGTTAATCTGTATGTGGTGAAATCCAGAACAAACAGTGATATTTTGAGGAATGTGTGCTCTGTTATGACTGACTGGTTTGTAACTTAATGCCAGCTCCTTATAAAGTTCATGTATGGACTTGAATATTGAGAGGGAAATCACCCATGATCAAAAGTCTCGGTGTAACATTGTCTGCCCTGAGTTGTGGGTCACATCAGCTTTCAGAGAACATTTTTCCCTGTCTGCTCCCTCAGCTGCCAAGTCTGGTCCCTGCATGCCCAATGTAAGTGCTTTCAAATTTCCATGGGTTTGGCAATGTTCTCGCAATGGCTCTTTCTCTGGCTTCTCTGGCACACTTTCTTGGCATGAGCTTGCACTATCCAGTTGTTTCAGGGTCATAGGTTCCTCCTGAACCCCTTTACCCCCAAGTAATTTAAAGCAGGCACTGTCCTGGAATCGCCCTTATAGGTCTACAGGGTGGTTTGTGCGTGAACGGTCTGTGTATGGCTTACTGAACCTGTTTTTCTTTTGCCAAATAGGTTCTACCCTGTACAATGTGCTCCGTGGAGTGCTGGAGGTTGCTGTTGGCACAGCAGCTGGGGGGATTCTGGGAATGTTTGTTCGGTATTTCCCAAGCCACGATCAGGTAAAAACCCAGTAAAAAAACCTTTTTATAAAATAGAGGTTCTTTGCTAAGGGATGATATTCCTAAGTTATTAATTTCTAAGCATCATGTGAAGCTGCTTTTGGGGAAAGCTGTGTACAGTGCTAATAGCTTCCAGGTTGCAAAGCCTATCAAGTGAGGATGTGTTTTATAGGTAATTACTTGTTTACTGCAACAGTAACAACGTATGATGTCATAGTCCTTCCTGATGCAGAGTTTGGAACCCAGCTCACCATCCTGCTCTCATTGAAGGCGATGCAAATGTCCACACGTAAAGGAGAAAGGGTCTGATACCTGTTTCAGGCAGTAAAATATTCATCAATTAGATCGATGTGTGACGCATTTACTTCTATAAGATGTTTCCAGTAGGCCTAAGATTAAAAAAAAGTAAAGCGGACAGATTGTGGGCTTTAAGTGATTGGGCATATCATTAGTGCTAATTCGAATGTGTTACTTTCAATAAAAATTAAACTTCTAGAAAGTGGTAGATGAATTTACTATCAAGGGGCAATTAAGTGAACAGAAAATTGTGGAAGAAAGTAGATATGTTCTGGACTACTAAAGGCAATTTGCAAAGTATCTATTGCCCTCGATGGGATGAAATTTTTCTCTTATTAAACAACGTAAGAAGTGTGGTACAGGAGCCAAAGAGATAAATAGAAATGGGGAACAATGGCAGAGAGAGAACTGTCTGCTGTGAGATCAAATAAGACTAGACTGTCCCTGTCGAAAGTTTGTATGACTTCTCTTTAAGAACATCTAGTGGCAAGGATTTCACTTCTCCTTGGATAAACTGTTCCAGTACTTGACTGTACAGGTAGAAAATCCTGTTATCACAGAGTTGAAGCAGGGCTGTTAAAATAGAGCATCATGTTCCTTGTGATACAAAAAGCCTTTTGACAATAAGATTTTGGATGGGCAGAGGAAAGAAAATATTAAATTTCCAAGATTTTAATTTCTTAGGAATTAATGTCCAAAAAAACCCTCAACTGAACCGAATAGTTCAAGTCTTACTTGGAAGCTTTGATTCTTTCACAATGGTTAAGGGTAATTGTTATTTTCAAATTGCGATTTTCAAAAGTAACAAAAGTAACCTTCTTCTTCCATTTCTAAAAGAAATTTACTTTTTTGTTTGTCTCTTTCCTTGGCTGCAGGCATCTCTGGCGTGGAAGAGGACATATTTTGTACTTGGGCTGTCCATGTTTGCCGTTTTTGGCAGCATCTACTTTGGCTTCCCTGGATCAGGAGGGCTCTGCACATTAGTCTTAGCTTTTGTTGCAGGTGTGGGATGGTCTGATGAAAAGGTAAATGTTTATATAAAGAAGCATACCATACCAAAACTCCTTTGAATGTACAGCTTGACAGGAGTTTGAATTTCTGTCAGGAGTGGTAATGGTGCATTTATGAAGCTTTAGGTGCTTGACTGGGAATCCAAAGCTTTATGTTCCAGCTCTGTGAGTGTCTGTAACCTTACACAGTTACTTTATGGTAAGATTTACAAACAGGTGTCCAAAATACAGTTGTGCAAATGGCCTGAATGCCCTGAGGTTTTGTTCCCTGTGGTTTTGAGGGGTGAAATGGAAAACAGTAATTAACCATTGTCTCTCATCTTTCCCAAATCCCAGCCAGTGTATTGTGGATAAATTAGAGAGCAGGGTGCCCACAATAAATGGTGATATAAGGCTATATAAAAACCATACAAAAGACTGCTTTTTAGTCACTTTCTCTTAACTGCTAAGCCTGGTTCCTCTTACTGTCGCTGCCCCACTGCATTTCTGTACCTTGGGATGTCTCACTGCCTCTTTTGAACAACAAAACAGAAACCATGGTTTCTATTTAAGTATTACATTGTTGTCCAATTTTAAAAGAAGAAAAACTCATCTTGGGACTTAACTACTCAAGGACATTACAACTGATAAAGCTCTCTATTGAAAAGCTGTTAAACCATTTCAGAAGGGAGGACCTTAAAAGAGTATACGCAGTCTATAAATGCTTCGCTTCAATTCTTTTGATCAGTGAATGAAGCTTCTTGGCCTTAAGGATGTTGATTTCAAACGCCTTAGCTCTCTTTTATCAGATACAAAGATGTCTGCATACTGTATACTCAATAAATTACCAAGGTGTTTCTGCTGAGCCTCTCAAAGGCCACTGCTACTGTCCCTGGTGGAAGTCACTTGGCAAATACTGTCCACAGAGAACAAGGAACATTGTACCTATTGCTGGAACAGTTAAATGGGCAGTAAACAGACTGATATAATGCAAACATCTGTAAAGAGGATTATTTTTTTTTTTCCAAAAAAGACAAGGGTGAGATAACAGGGAGAAATGAGACAAATAAAGAAAAATGTGTAGAGGTCTGTATATTTTCACCTAGTTCTCTTTAAGATTACAGAAGTTTTGTATTGCAGTCATCTACCATTCCATTGACTGAAGAGCAAGAGGTGTCGCAGGATCAGTCCCAGAGAGAATACCAAGGACAGGACATGTCTAGGCCCTGGATTGATTATTAAGTGACAGAGCACTGCACTTTTATTTTACACACACACCAGCCTGAAGGTTCATTTGCTATTGGGGAACTCAATTAAAAAAGAAGTGCTATTAGATATGCTACGTGTACCTCTTCACGTAAGTGGAAGATTCCTGTTTATCCTGGCAGCAGTTGTTTTAGGAAAATTGTTCGGTGTAAACAGAAAGAGATAAGATGGCTTTGCCCTTATACAGTACATCGCACTGGAAAGTTCAACACTTTTTGCAAGTATGGGATTTCAGACTTGCTCAGTCTAACTCTGCTCCTGCCCACATGGAGACAAGCCTCTGAGTGCAGTACAAGTGGAGTTAGGTCATGACTGAAACAAAACTTTGAGGGTCTGACTCTGCTCAGATACAAATGGAAGAACATATTTAAGCATGTAGTTCCCAAAGGCTCAGAAACTTCATGGCAAAACTGTTCAAATTACATCTTCCTAAACATTGAAAATCAACTATGCTTTATTTTCCTCCTCTTGTCTGCAAATTGCTCTGTTACTGTTCAAACATCAGTGATTTTTATTTCTCTTCTTGAGATAGCAAGTATTTATTTACTAGCAGAGCTAGACACAATCTGACCTTCAAAAGGTGTGCAACTGATTTTGAATCTTTTAGTATTAGGACAAAGAAGGAGGAGCAATTCTGGACAATCTTTATGATACATTTTCAGTTTGTCCTTTGATTAATTAAATGTTGTGTCAACTTGGCCATATTTTTGTGAATCTACAAATTATTTTTGTTTTGATTGCAGAGGGAAGTAGAAAAAATTGTTGCAGTTGCATGGAATATCTTTCAACCTTTTCTTTTTGGTTTAATTGGAGCAGAAGTATCTGTTACATCTCTTAGGCCTGAAACTGTTGGTAAGATCGTTCACTAATTATCCAGCTTTCATTACTAGCTTCCAAAGAATCTCTATGAGGAAATCTAAAGCAAAGCAGACTACAGCTGACACCCTCCCCCCCCAAAAAAAAAATCACACCACCCCCACCAAAAAAAACAACCGTATTGTGAAGCTACAGTTTTAGGAGGCTTACTCCCCTCAGGCACCTATGCACAAAAGTACTGAGAAGTGTTTGTCTTTGTTTCAGGGCTCTGCGTTGCTACAATAGGCATTGCCCTAGTTGTGCGAATCATAGCAACGTTCCTGATGGTGTGTTTTGCTGGGTTTAATTTCAAGGAGAAAGTATTCGTCTCACTGGCGTGGATTCCCAAAGCCACTGTCCAGGTAAACAGTCCAACATCACTTTCATTCCAGGCTAAATCTACTGTCCTTAGCAAAGCTCCTCGTAACTAGCACAGCAGTAAACAGGGAGAGGATCAGGCTCAATAACAGCAGAGTGTAGTATATGGACCGTTCGTATTCTAAACAGCCCTAAGTCTGCTTGAAAAGTGCATGGAGAGCTTTCTGTGTAAAGCTGTATCGCTTGCACCCTGGGTTGTGCTCTTAATAATGACAGAGAATTGTACATATATCATAGGAAGTTTAACTATTTCTCAGCTATTGTGGGTTATTGCGCCTTTACATACAGATTCTGAGAATTCTCAAAACAAAGGTAAAATGGTTCCCTCTTACACCACATGAAGTGTCTACAGGGACAGTAACACCAGAGGTTCAGAATGGGTTTTCAGTTTGTGGTCGTTTTAGTAAGGGGTAGTCTGACAGCCATGTTGCTAGAGAAGCCGCAGGCTGGCTGCAATTTCAGTGATCATTTAGTCTTAGACTTAATCATTTAAGTCATTTAGACTTTGCCTCAATAGCATGATTACTTGCAACCAATAGCTAAGAATCAGAACAGGCAAGGATTATTGCAAGATTTGTGAACTAAATTTTCAGAAGCTGCTACTAGTTGACTGTTTTCAGGACACATTCTCAAGGTGTGGTGTTTCAACAGCTGCAATATGCAATATACCGGCCCATTTCATTAATCATGCATTCTCCAAAAATGTGGATAAAATGGCAGTTAAGCAATGTTCTTCACGGAGGGAACCACCCAGACGAATTCATGAGCTTAGGAAATTTGAAGTGTAGCCAAGTGAAAATTGTTCTTGTAGGTGTAATATAACATTTACTTTTCTATGTACTGCCTAGAAACAAATGGGTTGAAGGTACTAAAGATGTCAAATTTATGTTAAATGTTGACTGATGATTAGTCCCTTTTTTCCTCTTTCAGTGCTAAAGGTTACTTGATCCATCTCAGCAATGCTTTCTTTCCTGCAGGCTGCAATAGGTTCCCTTGCCCTGGATACAGCAAGAAGTCATCAGGATGAACAACTGGAAAAGTATGGAATGGATGTACTGACAGTAGCTTTCTTGGCTATCTTGATCACTGCTCCAATTGGAGCCCTGGGTATTGGCTTGGCAGGGCCCAGACTTTTGCAGAAGGCTCAGACAAATAGCAAGGAAGACGAGGAAGGTGCTGAGGTTGGAGAAGCCGCAGAGGCCTGTGAACCTTCGTAAGAGACGACTACAGGAATATGGTCCTTCAGCTCTTACACCTCTGTTGAGTAAACACAGCGTGTCTGTAATCCTTCTGGAGGAAACCAAAACAAGTATCAATCAGTTATGTCTGCTATTTTAAAAGCAGCCCTGGTGGAGTTTTATAAAATATTTTTATGTGTTGATGGTGCCTTCAGAGATTAAACAGCTGAACATACAGTGAATAGGCTGGCCAGGCAGTGAGTCACTGAGAAGTTAGCAGTCAACAGTTACTTGAAATGTGTGGGTGTGAGGCCAGGGAGAGGATCAGAATTGTTCAGGCATGGAGTGGAGTCACGAGGTGGAATATATTCACAGAAGAAAATGGAGGCTAATGTGAATAACTTCTTGATGGTGGAAACTGGGCTGTGAGATGACAAGTTCAGCAGCTCAAAGAATGCAACTGCTGAATTAGAGACTGCTGACACGCAGTGAATGAGTCCCGCCACAGGTTGGTGATTCCCTCTCCTTCCTCATTCAGGTTCCAAGACTTGCCTTTTCCTATTGCTGTTTTTCCTCACAGCTCATGCACTCCTTTGTGCCTTCAAGGGACTATCAGCTTTGGTCATAGCAAGAAACAGCAAGTGGTACTTATGTGCTGAAAGAGACAGTTGGGTCCATCAGGGACTGTGGTAATACAGGTGGTGCTGGTAGAAAAAAGGACTGAGCTTGAAAATGGGATGAGGGTTGTGGGGAGGCTATAAGGACTGGGAAAGGGTTGTATGGGATTGGGATGGCTGCTTCTTCACACAACATGGTGTCAAGGGAGGGAAAGCCAGCTTTTCAGCCACCGAGAGTGGCTATGTTCTGGTGCTGGCTGCTGCAGGACGGAGGGGAGAGCTCCTCTCGGGTGGGGTTTGCTGACAGGGCAAGGCCAAGGTGGCAATGAGTTGTCCCTTTCTTCCTCAGTTCCTTTTGGGGAACTCGGCAATAGCAGCAGACCTCTCCTCAAATCAAGATTCATGGGTCAGCCAGAATCTCCTTTCCTTTGTCCTAAGTTAATACTCATTTGACGGAGAAAACGCCATGATGAGGTCCTTCTTACATCTGCATCTGGATAACTGCAGCAAAGAAAACCAAGTATTTTCTAAAAATATAGCCGGGTAGTGCTCATTTTTCCAAGAGGTGTCTGGCTGGATTGACTGTGGAGAGGGGAGGCCTCTCAGATTTGCCAGGGCATTTTTTACCTCTGATTGACGCAGAAAAAAACTAATATACTTTAAATGAACAGCCTTGAAAATGCAGTGCTGAGAGGGATAGTACAAAGTGAAAGGAGCCTCACCTACCTTCAGAAAGGCTGCTGTGTGAAGGCAGGTGTCATGACGAAGCAGCGTTCAGGACACAGCGCTAGCACCCTCAGCACATACCCACGGGTCCTGTGGGTCTTTCCAGAAACACAAGTTGTGTGCGGCTGTGGATCATGGTAATGACTGGCAACGCTCGTGTCGAATATCTTGCCAAAACATTTCACCAGGGGGAGCAAAAAGCTCAAATGTGGTTTTCTTCATTTTATTTAATATCGATGCCTCCTGCACAGTCAGTTGCAATAAGCTCACATTTGATTTTCCCATTCCCGGAAGACTTTCCTTTCTCTTCTCCTTGACTGTCCTAAAGCCAGGAGTAAACCTCCTCTGTTGATCAAAATCCTTCTCTTGCCTTTAGCTTTGGTATCAGTTAGGGTTTAGTATCGACCTGTTACAGATACCAGCAAATCTTTATTACTCTGCTCTGTTTTGTACAACTAGCTCCGAGTAGGTCATTCCCAGCTCCATTCTGAGGCATGGAGTCAGTACAGCACCCCTCAGAAACTGGAAGTTTTATTTTGTTATTTTTTAGTAAGGATGTTAGATCGTGCCTATAGTCAAGGTGGACAATGCCTCCTTGCAGATTTCTACACTACAGTTCACTAAACTCGTTTTACAGGATACTCTATAGAATATATTTGATGTGTCCAAATATTCTTGGCATTAGTAAGAATTAATTCTATTTTATCTTTTATACTTCTAATATGCAACACAAAAATGTACAAAAATACTTTTAAAAGAAAACTGTCTGAAACTGTATTATTTGCAGATTGTCCACGTATGCCTCTGTATACAGATTAATTACAGCTCAGTATGTGTGCCTTTGTATGTGCCGCCTTCTCCAAGCCAAAAAGAAAGTTCCTGAGAAATATTTAAGGTTCATAGCCTGCAATTCCAGCATAGTGATAAAAATACCAGGCAATTCTTTGGTAAGTTTTCCCCAAACAGTTGTCAAGTACATTGACGTTTTTCTTACTATACACACTGCTGTTCTCTCCGCGTCCTCAGGGAACGTACAATCTTTAGTTCAGTTCATGTTTGTTCCCTGCCCAGAAAGGAAGATGCTTTCAAACTGCATGCTGATGAATGGTTAGGGTGCTGTACTTGGTGGTTATTGTCTCAGCCATTGACTGCTGTGCCTGTTCTGCCTCCTTTGCATGGGTAACGGAGGCACTCTGTTACTTAAATAGGGGTAGTTTTAATAGGAGCTTATTGTGTTTGGCAATTGTAATGTCTGTAAACCTAATTGGTAAGATGAGGGAATATGGTGTTCGGTTCATCAGTAACTGTCTATAAAATAATTCTACTTGAGTAAAACTTACAGGAGTAGAAGTTTTATATAGTTCATTTTTTTCATAAAGTTTTATAAAAAGTAAAAGTCTTCCTGTGAGCGGGATCGCTATGCCAAATTTGGAGTCGGTTCAATAACAGAAGTGTGCCGTGTAAGAATTATAGCCTTGTAAATTTGAACACAACCTTAAGTATGATGCAAGCAAACCTCTGACAGACAGCCCTTGTTCATGATAGCCTCTCATGCTTGCTCACCATCATAACAGTATCTCATAAATTGGATTTATCATGTTCCCTTCACCTCAGTGCACTCTCAATTTATTCATTAGATCACTCCCACTGTTCTGAGTGCTTGAATAGCTACACCAATGAAAAGTGTCATCTTGTTCTCTAATCTAAACGAAATAATTGAATCAGTTTTCCTTTCCTCGCCACCATATGTGGATGTTTCTCACAAGACTCCTTTCGCCTAGCTTTTATTAAATCTTCAAAAAGAATCAGGTTGAAGCCATTACATAGACCTGCAGATCTAAAATGAAAAGCATTAATGCTTTATAATGCTCCTCTCCTTGCCTTCCAGAAGGGAACAAAACACATGCAACTTGTCATGAAAAGAAATGTTATATCGGGGCTAAGAACCTATGAGACTGTTTTGTTTGGTTGTTTTTTTTTTTTTTTTGAATCAGTTTTCCTTTCCTCGCCACCATATGTGGATGTTTCTCACAAGACTCCTTTCGCCTAGCTTTTATTAAATCTTCAAAAAGAATCAGGTTGAAGCCATTACATAGACCTGCAGATCTAAAATGAAAAGCATTAATGCTTTATAATGGCTCCTCTCCTGCCTTCCAGAAGGGAACAAAACACATGCAACTTGTCATGAAAAAAAAATTTTTTTGGGGGCAAAAAACCTTTGAAACTTTTTTTTTTGTGTTTTTTTTTTTTTTTTTTTAATAAGTATCATGACAATTTCAACTGATTTTAAATAGCAGTTAACTTTGAGAGACACGATTTCACTTTTTATCAGAGTTTGTGCAGGTCAAGTCATGACAGTTAAGACCACCTCCCTTTTAACAAAATGCCATGAAATCATTCACAAATAATGCACAAATTCAAGCCAATAAAATCTTTATGCCATGCCAGTCTCTCACTTGCAGGAAATAAAATTAGAGCACAACGTGCAGTAAACTATAACTAGAGGAGTCCTGCTGTCATGCAGACATAATCACAGGCATAATGGAGGAGAGTACTGAGCACAGTATGTGTGTGCAGTTCCAGAAGGTTCACAAGAACCTCTGCAGCAGAAGGGTCTGACGGCACAGCGTGTTCCTGGCGGCAAGCAGCAGGCAGAGTTAAGCAGGCAGCATATGGCAAAAGACAGAAATTGGCCATCTGGAAGCAGGGAGTCACACAAGCCAGGGGATGCAGTGATAATGTAATTATAATCACTGCTTTCTCTCTCTTTTTCAGCCAAACTGAGCATTTTAGGAAATTTACACTGAAGTCTAAAATTAACTGAAACACTCACAGTGTAATACAGCCACAAAACAGTGAATGATACAGTTTTTGCATTTTGCTTTTCAAATAAATAGAGTGCAAGAGATCAAATTTTGTGCCAGCTGCACTTCAATTACATTTACTTTGTCTAGTAGTTGCCACAAGTCAGACACCTCTCACTAAACATATTTGGTTTGCAAGTTTAGTTGTAGTCTGTTATAACTATTGTTCAAATTCATAATCAAAAGAAAGGTAAACATTACTGTTCTCGTAGAGTGAAAAGGCATGTCATGACCTGCCAAGCTGAGCTTCCCCTGATTTTGCATCAAGACTGTGAAGACCTGGTCTACAGCCTCAGTCCTGGTCTTTATTAGCATTAGGGGCACATCTGTCTCTTTGTGTGGAGCTTCCAAATTAGGTTAGAAAAGTCATCCAGTGGCAAGACATGACCAAGCACATTCTAGCAGGTAATTGGTTCAACCCTCTCAATCGCTGGTGAAGTACAGGGCTCTGCAGACACGTCAGTTCTTAGCTGTCTATCCCCGTACACTTTAGGCAGGTAATTTGAACTGATCAGTAAATTCTTTGAGACTTTCTATAGACAATTCTGTGGCCATGAGAGACAGTATTACCTTGACAGATTTTGAAATGCAAGGAAATGGTCACTTATCTTGCTTGTGACCTTCATTGTAATATTGTCTTGTGGAAATTACTATGTCCTTTCTACAAAGGAACTGTGACTGCACGCTGCTATTGCAGGCCCATACTACAAATGTGTTCCATTCCCCTATGGACATAAGCAAAAACAAACAAAAACCACCAATTTGTTCCGTAGCCACATTTGTAGATAGTTTAGCAGCAATCTCAACTAACAGCAAGCAGGGAGAAAAAATTAATTACATAATCAAGTCATGCTAGAGATGGAGTCAAGAGGTTAAACCTTACACTGTCCTTCTCCCTTTAGAGGAGCTTTATGGGAGAAACAAAACCAATTTTATTGTATTACTTACTCTAACAGGGTTTGTCTGAGCAGACAAACGGAAGTGAAAACAGGATTGATGCACGTAGTTTACTTAGACTTAGGAGGAAATCAAAGTATTCGAATGCAAAAGTATCCTGATAAAAGCTGGAAGCACATACAGACTTGCATATAACAGCAGCCTGCTACAATAGGCTGTGGATTTTGAAGCCGGGGGGGAGGGGAGAAATCTAGACACATGCTTTTGCATTTGACATAGTAATTTTTTTCACCAAACCCACAAACTGGGGCTTGGTGTTCAATATACTG